TATTCGTAACTCCCCTTGAAAATAATAATTTTATAGGAGGAAATTTGGCAACTCTCAAATGTTCATACGGCGTTTTTCCTTAGCACGGCAGAATGAGGCGCAGGGCCGGAGAGAGATCATCATTTCAGGTAAATAATGCAAGATGTTGCAACGGCGGAAAAACTTATGAATTTTTCCAATATAATTGCTCAATCTCGGTTGGTTTCTCGACGTAGATTGTGTTCGCTTCGGAGGAGAAACAGAACGTTATTCTTAAAAGTTGGGGTGGGATTCCCTCGAATTTCCGAAGAGACTAAAGTCCGTCCGTGTGAGTGACAGAGCGTCTAATTAACTGTGGATCAATAAGGATTTTGGCAGGAACTCCGGAGTCGGGGCGGAGGTTGAGAGGAGCCGGGAGCCCGTGGGAATTTTTCAATTACCCGAGGAATCCGTTGCCGCCCTGCGAGGGAGCGCTGCGCTGACTGCTCCCTTGCCGGGAGTGTCGGGACTTCGGGGGTGGATCGTTGTAATACGGGAGCAGCGCGAGGGAGGGGCGACTCGGGGGAGGGCGGACGGGTGGACGGGTAAACGCTGGCGGAGGGAGGTTGGAGTACGGTAAGGGGCTGACATGAGTAGTACAATAGACAACTGCTCTACTTTGCAAACTGGGACGATGACCGTGGAAGGGTTGCGAGGGGTGAGGCGATGAAGGGAGGGGCGCGGGGATAATGGGAGGGGCGCGAGTCACCTGAGCGCGCGCACCTGCCCCGGTTCACTGCCCTTCCTCACTGTTTTTCCTTTCTGCTGGGAGACGAACCCCGCGGCCGGCGCCCGGGAGAAACCGCGTATCGACCCGACGGTTCCCGCCGGAGTTAGGGTGTTCCTGCGCGCCGCGCCCGCGCCGCAAGGTGGAGCCGAGGTCTAAGCAGCCGTCCCGTCAGTCACCTCCCGCTCGCCGCGCCCCAATCAATCAATTGAACGTATTTCTGTCAAACGGAACTATGTGCAATATGATTAGAGCCCTGTTATGCATATATTTTTATGGGTCTCAGGGTTCATATCTTAAGGCTCATAGTTCCGTTTGGCAGAAATACGTCCAATTGAACGGGATTCGAGCCGAATCAGTCTAGCTCCGTTTTGACATGGCCTTCGGCAATCATAATTCTCATCAAAATCAGAGCTCGTCTTCAAATTGAGATATATTTTCCTGGCTCCTTATCGTTCTTGTCGCATATAGATAGCTAAAGTAGGACACCAAATTCTCAAAAATATCAAAATGGGCCCTCCTAAAAATAATCATGGTGGTACCATGTGAAGAATTTAAGATCATGTTGTTAGATTTGAACATCATCCTGGGAAATAATGGTAGCGCAATTTAATATATGATTCGAAGGGAATAAACCGATGTGAATTTAAGTTTCTTTAAAAAAATTTCGCAATGGGCACCCGAAAAACGTTGGGGAAAAACGCAAAGTTCCGGGCTCCAGATAACAACACGAAGAAAGGTAATAACAAGAGAACATGGTTTTCCGACCAAATTCTACCAGTTGCATGGATTCCATTGTTGTTAACACGCTTTTAACTTTCTGGACCGAAAGGAGGGAAAAATCGATAGGCATCAAAATATCGTTAACAAAAAACGCCGGCCGTGAGCGCAAGGAAGTGCAAAACGCCTTCAGTTTTTACGTAGGCAACATTGGTAGCTCCAGAACACGATTAGTTGTATGAAGGCGTTAAAGTCAAAGTGGTGATTGATATTGGAGCCTCACCTTGCGTAACACTATTTTTGCTCCTGAGTGGCGCGTTGTAAAAGCAAGAAAGGTTCAACTGCCTTTAGTTTATGCGTAAGCAACACGGTCAGTTCACCCTTAACGCATTCCTGGGACGAAATGAATTAACATTAAAATTAGTAAGCACAGGAATATCATTGGAATACAACTCAACCTCCCAGGCTTCGGAAAGTCACCTAAAGAAAATGGAAATTTGTCGCCTTTTCCCAACAAGTCGTAACCTTAGACACGTTCATAGCGCGTTTTTAATTTACCTGGATCGACAAGAAAAAATCTACGTAGGGCGCAAAATTTAGTTTTATAAAAGAGAAAAAAATTAAAAATTCTGGGCTGCAGATGGTCACCCGTAATAATGTTAAGGGGACATCAACATCACGCCCTTTTTTGAACGAATCCATAGGCTCTATTATTGATTTAGGTACAGCAAGTTCAAAGTCCTCAGATCCCGAGGAAAATGAATTTCATAGGCACCAAAACATCGTTGGAAAATAAACTCAAAGTTTCGCACTCCAGATGGTCAGCTATAGGGTGTTTAAAAAAAATCTGTTTTGGAAAACATTCCCTCCCCTCTAAATTCCCACTGCTAATAGACCTAGGTAATATAAATATACCTAGCAGTTCAAGTGAAATTACCTCTAAAAAGGGCAATCTGGGAAAATCAATATTATGTAGAAGGTTTCTTTTCTCGAAAAGAGGCGGGCTGGGGGGCCAAAATATGCAACCGGCGACCGGTTTTTCGCTTAAATATACCTAAAAAATAATCAATCCTACGGGAAAAGGTCATGGACCTTTTATAAAGAACACAGAATTTCATATGAGAAACGCTATACCTTTATTAATTTGTGACTTCCAGTTTGTTGGATCGTGGTAGTTCTCTGCGGCTGGGAAAGTTAAATTTTTCGTGAAATCACGCTTTTCCGACGGAATCTACAATTATCTTACATAAGGCGAATCTGAGGAAAAAATTGTTCCTGCTGAAATCGAAGAGCATACAATTTCCAATAAGTAGAACAGTGCTTATTATTTCACTTGGGGGTCCGCCCCTAGATCGCTATGGCGGTCCAACCTAATGGCGGCTGTTGTATACGAAGAGTCTCAGCTTGGCCGCGCTGCATCGCACCTCACCATGATTTTGTTGATTCTTCGAGTGAGTTGAAGAGTTAGGAAAATGAAATGATTTTCTCAGAATAAGCTTCAAACTAATTGTACTCCATAATTGATCAACAGAAAATCAGGTGAAAAAAGTACCCATGACGCATGACGTTGCCACGAATTTTATACATTTTTCAAGTATGATAGCAAATCTGAAATGTTTGCGGTTTAAGAAAAATACAATTTAGAATTTGTAAGATAAATGATCTCGTTTCTCTTAACCCTCCCTCCCCTCCTACTTACGGAGTTACTCGAGATAATTACCACTGAGCAAAAAGGAAAGAGCGAAATAGGTTGACGACATCTCAGTTTGCGTCAAAGCCCTGCTGATTTACTTATACAACTGAACTCCATAAAACAGCAACTCGCATTATTTGATTGCTTCCCGTTCATTACTGACAGGTGAGATTATAAATGGGAAGATAATGATAATTCTGTGATCTCTCTCTGAATGATTGTCGATCAGAAAAATATGGGCGAGCTTCGACATCGATGACTCAAAGATACCTTTCATGGGTGCAAAATCTATACAATCCTTCTATCCTAGGATTTAGGGCTTGAGTGGGGTGCATACTGGTCGGAAAAGGTGTAGACCGCAGTAGGTCCAGCATCGCGATATTACGAATTTTCAACGAATATAGCGCGCAATGTAGTGAACGCGCAATGCGTGAGGTATTCCTGCAGTCTTGTAGGCGCTACGCGAACCGGCATCCGCGCTGTGCGTTAGGCACAATGCGTGAAGTATTCAGGCAGTCTTGTAGGCGCTTCGCGAACCGGCATCCGCACTGTGCGTTAGGCGCAATGCGTGAAGTATTCATGCAGTCTTGTAGGCGCTACTATGCGTTCCCCGCCGACCGACCGGCGCGCGCGACCCTCCTTGGCGTTAGAAAAGATGATACAGCATTAGATTCGAAAGAAACTGTTGACACAGAAGAACGACAAAAGAAGTAAATATCCGAAGTGGAAGGAAAAACTGGAAGTGGACAATGAAAATCTATAAACGGAAATATGAGGTGAAGAACGGATAAGGGGATCCCCTTATCCGTTCTTCACCTCATAATTAAAATTTCAGTTCCAGTTTTCACTCGAGTGAAAATTGGAACTGAAATTTTGTATTACTTTTCTTTGACTTCGCCGACTAAATATTTCACACGTAACGTAAATTTAATAGAAAGAGCACTGCGCATTAAATTACTCACTTTAAACAATAGATCCAAGTTGCATCAAGAGCAATGAAAGTGATTCGTCAGTGAGCTCAAGTGACTTTGGTCGAACTGGCATGTGATACATCTCATCGATTAGGTAAAAAATCTTGGCAGCGGATTTCGAATTTTTAGCCCATAAAAGGACGATTGCCCCTGCACATGAGTCTACAGAATCATTTCTATAAACCAAAATATAAATTATTATAAAATATGTATGAGTAAAAATTCAGAGAAATGACAGCAGAATAGGATTAGGGAAAAAACCTCGCATTCGATACATTTATCGATTTTGGTATCGAAAGCAAGGTTTTTCCCAAATACCATTCTGCTTTTATTTCTCTGAATTTCGCCTAAGTATTTTTCGGTTTAAAGTAATTTTCTATAGACTCATGCGCAGGGGCTTTAGTCCTTTTTGGGCTGAAATTCGAAATCTGCTGCCGAGATTTTTTACCTAATCGATACGATATATTGCATGCCAGTTCGACCTTGTGNTTTTGATTTATTATGTTCGGTTTATCGTTTGTCAAAATTTTGTGGGATTTTTTGCACAATTTTGGTTATGCGATATTAATTTTAGCGTTTAAACGCACAAACGTTTGAATGTTGATTTGATTGTAATTTAATTAAAAAACGGGCCCCTTAACCTACGTCACGAGGTCATGTGACACGTACTGAGGCTCATGGGAAATTTTCAACTTTTCCATACCTGTATAAATCTACCTTGAGCATGCACTACTCTGTGCAGCACGAAATCGCGGAAATTAGGCTATGTGGGGGCCTCTACTTCTCGGTGCCTACGATGCAACACAAGGTTTAGTTCAGCTCTGTGCCGACAGAGCTCGCACCGTCCCAAGTAAACAAACCGAGCACAAGGAAGTTTTAAGGTTATAAAATAAACTGTGGTAAACTTTGTGTAATGCCGTTAACTAATTCAAATCCTTAAACCAATTCGAATTAGTAATTTGAATCAAATCAAGTACGAACAATATGGAGCAGACACTACCTTCATAAGTAGGCCTTTTCTCATTTAAGTCAGTGCCTTCATAGAAATGGATGAATACCTCTGGAATCAGTTAGACGTTGAACCTCCCCCATCTATGTGTGTGCAACTGGAATGTTCAGGTGAGTGTTCAATTATTGATGTAAGTATCTTGGTAATTTTAAGCTTTCTCAGTTGTTCGTTGTAAAGTCATGAACAATATTGTCTTACTTAAACCCTCTACAAAATATTTATGATGCTTCGTACTTTTCTGCGACACCTGAAGCTTACTTTATTTTACCACGGAAAGAAAAAAAAGGTAACGTTTAGACTCTTGTCTCTTATCGCCTACTGGTATCCATTAGATCTTGAAAGTCTTGAAGTATAGGCTGTCATTCATTCGTCGATGGTAACAGGAGAGAAGGAGACTTTTATCAGAAATTTCATACTGTTTAGCTATTGTATAAATCTGCCAAACTTCTCAATCATAGTCTCATTAAGCAGATTTACAAATTGTCTGCGCATTATGGAAGGGATCAGATGTCCGAGAAGAATGTAGGGATGGACGATTATCGAATTTGAATGCGAATATTCGAATCTTCCAATCTCGAATACTTCGGATCTTGTGATTTCGAATACTTCGAAAGCAAATATTCGAATGTGATGCGATTATCTCAGTGCCAATAATTTGATTATCGAATATTCGACCATCCCTAGAAGAATGGCACTGAATAGTAAGTTTTACTCCACTAAATATTTCTCTCTCCATTTATTTGCTTGCAAATTTTAAAGTTGGTTATTTTATTTTTACCTGCAGTAAATACATCAGTTCATTTTTATGGCAAAGTAGGAATATATACAGGAACATACATCCCCTTTACATAACATACACAGGAACTCAACTTACTAAAAAGTTTAAAGTTTAAGGCTTTGGCAATTGAACACAGCGGAGATCTGGGTTGAAGGGAGGAACCCTAATGTAAAATATTTATCTTTTTTCTCTCCTTCAATTTCTCACTAGCATGCAAGCATAAGCTTTGTTCTCATCTTCTCTGTTCTAGGCAAACTAAGATCCAGTTTAGACAGTATGTGTAAAGAAGCTAAGGAGCTACTGCTGGGTAAATCATTCAGAATAGAGGCAACTTTCATATCAAGAATTTTACACCGTTACAAGAACCAATTTAGATTAATAAAAGCATTCAAGTTTCTAAGGAAGGTAATATACTCTTTCAGTTAATATTTATTGATCCTATGGTAGCATCACATGCAAAAACGCAGTGACAGTGAAATTATCAGACCACGTATCTCGGTTCGCGACATCGTAGACTTTCTGTCATACTTTATTTTTTAATGGAAAACTACTCAACGTCAATTCCTGAAAACTTCCGTTTTTTTTCTCAGTGCAAAGAAAAGACTGCAAAAATTTCAAGGAATGATATCGATTTGTTCTCCTTAAAAAGAATAAAATGAGAGTAGAGATTTATAAACACCACAAACGAGATGCGTTGTCTGGTAGTTTCATTGATGACAGGTACTTTAGTATACAGCTTATCTTGGTCATGTTAGGAATTCAACTAGGTTCGGGTAAGAATCTGTTAGGTGGCGCAGTCCCCCAGTATCAGTTAACATTGGTCCTTAGAAATTTTGACCATCAAACTAAATGAACGAGACAATTAGTTTTTGTTAGCTTTTCATATTGGCTTTGAGTCAATACCTCTTGAAATATTTGGATTCTTCGAAACCTCCTAAGTATCTCTCTAATGGCCTGTATTATTTTTGGACTTTTTTTGTCCTTATTAATTTGTAGAACGAATTGGTCCTGAAAGTTTATCATCACTTAGGTGGAACACTCTAAGTACATATTTTCAGCATTCTGTCTTGCAAAGGAGGGAACAGTCAAAAAAAAAAACTTCCATGTTGCATTTTTTGTTTCTTCCATAGATTAATCAAACTTTGTTGAGAGTACCAAAATTGAATCTGAAGGAAGTTTTTAGTGAGCTTGCGTCCTGCATCTCTAGTGAATTCATGCCGAGCAATCAAATGGTGGAGTTCTCCATGCTTCGTCTTCAAAGCCTCAGTTTTCTCCTGGCCCGGCTGATTTGCACCTGTGAAGAGGTTTTTCTAATTCTAAAGTCCTACTTGGAAGCACCAGGACCATGGGACGTTTGGCTAACTTTCCAAGCTTCTATCAGTAGAATATGGTAAGTTAAAAAATTTCAATTGTAGTTCAACAGTAAACTTGGCCCACAGATTTAAGTTAAAAATCTCTTACTCAGCTCCGTGCTTGGTGCTGCTCTGCCGTTCAATTTACAGAGAGGTGACAGTCTCATAGTAAGTATGGAGTCATATTAATTAGACCTATCAAACTGAACTAAACAGGATTTTCAAAGCTCAGTTTCCCAACCTGTTTTGGGGAAGGCACCTTGATCCTTTGATCTTCCTTGAGGCTATCCTCTTATGTATTCGTATCAATTTAAATGTATTCTGTGTTTAAGACTTCTCCAAAGGCTTCATAGTGGAATTCCTAACAAAAATTCAAACTCAAGCCTCCACTGGGCTTTGCATCTTTTAAGGAAAACCTTCCCTCTCTGTCAGTGTCCTTTAATTTATTTTTGCTTGATTTTTACAGGGTTTTATCTCACCACTTACTGCAAAAAACTGACAACTGGTATGAAGTTCTGAATCGTTACCGATCTAAATTGGATGTAACAGATCACTGGCTTCCAGAGTCTTATTCTTTACCTGAAAATCTTTTGTCTTGGGTAAATCAACAACTTATCAAGTAAGTTTCATGAAAATAAAACCAACCAAAAGATTTGGAATTGTTCAGGGACCGATAAATCTGAATGAGGTTGATGATAATCATTGCTGGGTAAAAAACCTTTTTAGCCCAGGAAAGCTTAATAGATTCGAGGACAAATTCTTCACCTTTTGTCTATTACTATAAACGTTGATGATAAAATAGTGAGTCTGTGAGAAGGAAAAAATTCGAAAAAAAATGCAGCCGCAAGAGGAGAAACATTCTTAGAAAATTGAGCTGTGAATGCAGCTACTCAAGTCAGTTTCCATGGTGACAATGGGCAGAGCGTGCAGATGTTTGGCAGTTGGGAGGCCTGCGCTCATGCAGTCCCAAGAGAAGCAATAGATTTCTCTTTTTGATGGTTATTTTTGGTGAGAGCAATCTGACGCACCAACTCAAGTCATCCTTATCCTATCAGATGCTTTGCTTGATTGATCAAAGAGCGTTCATGTTTCCTTTTGTGTTTCAAAAATTAAATAATTGCTCAAGAAAGCTTGAAAAGCAGGTGACAAGAAAAAACCCACTGCCTAGCCGTGAGGGGACAAGTTTTTTAGTCACAAGTTTTATATCCTAAGACATTCCATGTGTTGAAGTATCCGCATTGCTCCCAAGGTATTAATGAATTTCATTTTTCTTTAAAATCTCACATTATTTTCTGATCCCATCTTTGTAAGTTGTCATTAACAAAATGCAACTATACCCCCAAAAAAGCTTTCAACCGAGAATTTTTATTATTATTTTTCCAGAAATGGACTTTCACCACTTGTTGTCGAAAACATTTACAAGGCAAAAACTGCAAATACAGTTAGTGCAGAATTCGATTCAAACAGAGAGCCTTCCCCCACGAAATCGAACATGAATGGTAAGTCAGTGCATGATCTATACAGAACCAATTCTTTACACTCTTTCAGAAGCATCGTTTTTGTTGTTGGCAAAGAAAGTACCCTCTCAATTTGACTGAATTTTAAGAATAATTATAACTGACAAGGGGAACTTCCCAAGCTGCCGCTACTGGAAAGACTGCCACCGTCAACGCGTGCTCAAACCGGACTTTTCGGAATTTTTTGGTGGTGTTTCTAGGGTGCATTGGAAAAAACAAAAAAACATGGTCCTGTTGGATTCATCAAAAGTATTTGTGTGAATTTTTTCAGCCTGATCGGAAGAGATAGTTTTGGAAGTACCCTTGTGAATCAGAAATATAAGTTACTGAACATTTAATCAAGGAAAAAAAAAACTGAAAAATGTGGTCTGAACTGTATGAAACATGGCGGTAAAATAGTGCTGGGGCCACACTATTCTGAAGGTAAAGCAAGGCTAAAAAATTCTACACATTTTTTCAATTAGAGTAAAAAATTTGTGAACTTTTTGGCCTTGCTATCCCTGCAAAATAGTGTGGACCCAGCACTATTTTACCACCTTGTTGAACGTTTAATTAAAGCCCAATCATGTAAGTCACTCAGGACATCTTTGTTTCATGCAAATAATATTTTTGTTCCCTCTCTCTTTTTCAGAGATGGATGTAAAAGAGTTCGCAATGCCAAAAGCAATAAAAGGCAAAAGAAGAGGAAATAGAGGGCTGAAAGCAATCAAGAAGAAAAAGAAAACCAGTGAGACAACGGATATTCACTCTCTAGATCAGTTGAAGAAATTCCTGAATACTGAAGTAGACCTGCGAAGTAGATCAGATTCTAGGCAAAACTGTATTACGAAAAGTCTGGATCCTGTTGAATGGGATATTTTAAGAACTATCTTGTTAAAGTCCATCGAAAAAATTACAAAAAAACCGGAATCATCAGATAAAATTCTGGGAAAAGTCAGACAAACACTCCAGGTGGCAATTTCTTAGCCATTTAATTTTCTGATCTCCATTCAAATTTTTAATCTAGATTCTAGATCTAAGATTTTATAGAAGATACTCAGGTACATAATAAGAATATCTACAAATGAAGAACTCATCAGAGTATGACCTTGACCAACCACGAAGTATATCAAAAGAAAGTGCCCTGCTCATTAATTCCATGGTACCTGTTTAGCTGAATAAATATGATTTTAATATTTTACTCTTTTGAAAATCATTGACTTATTTCTATTTTTATTTTTTAAGATATATCTTCTCCTTTTCACATCATTCTCTCAGACTCTTGCTTAGGGTGTAATTTAATTTTTGAAATGCATATAAAGTTCTGACATCAAAGCACTCAAGTTTTTATTAGAGAAGAAACAGTCACTCTAAAAAAAAGGTGGGGTATAATCAATGCAGAACTAGGTGTAAAGTCAAGTCCAGCTGTAAAGTCATCAATTCCAAAATTTTCAGGAAAGATTTGAAAAACTACTAAAACGTTGAGAACTACATTTTTTAGTTTTAGTGGATTACAAAAATTTGTGGCAATCCACACGAAAAGGACCAAATCCCTCGTTGTTGGAACCAAAAGTTTCAGTGCTTACAGAGCGGTTTTTTTGGGTCGGAAAAATTCCGAAATTTTGATAGAAATTCTGAAATTTGGATAGAAAAATCTCTGTCGTGTCCCAAAAGACAAATCGAGAGTAGTTTAGTTTATATTAATGTGCCAATTAAGAGCATGAATATTTCAGAGATTTTGTAGATACTCTGAAGTTTTGAGCACGGCAGATTAGAATTTTAAATAGCATTTTCTCAAAACTACCTTTCTTTAACTGCAAACTTTAAAGTGCCCCACCTCTGATTAGCTTAAAAATTTTTGCGCGTTTTTATCTGGAAATTTTGGTCATCTCCTCGTACTCTAAGTACCTAGTATCAATGACTCGATTTTGAATTTTTGTGGACTGACATTAAGATCCCTTATTTATCAGTGGCTGGTCACATTTTTTAAGCAAAATAACTTTAGTGCAAAGGAATAGTTTTTAAATGTCTTTACTTGACAGAAATTCAATCCAGTGTAGCAAAAAAAGGGCGGTATTTCACTGAAATCTTAAGGTTGATTGAAATTAGCTTTGACTCAACTCTGAATAGTACCTATGTATAAAAATTGTTCTCGTGTTTAAATCAAGTTCTAAATGTTTCTTCCCATCTAAAATTATTTCTTTATTTCTTTTTGTATCAATGTGGGAAAATCAAATAATTTCATCGCTCTTTTTTACTTAATAATAATTTTGGACGGACATGGTGTACCGAAGATTTCATCAATCGGCAATCATTTAAACATGGCGCCAAACTATGGTTTTCTAGTTGGCCGCCAGAGCGTAGTAGTTACATATCAACAAAACTGTGTTTGTTTACTGTTGAAGTTTCAAATTTGAAACTTTTCATTGGCTCCAAAAGTTTCGTTTGAAGTTCCTAAGTATGTACTCATCCCTTTTTAATTTTTGTTTTATATTTCATATTCTTAGTTCAACAGTACAAGTGCAATGTATTTGTCATTCGGACTAGTTACATACTCATTCTAATCGGTTGGATGTTCACATGACATAACCTTAACATCCTCATTCCCAAATTTTAAATCCTCCCTGCAACTGAAAGTTTTGCTGAAACTTTGCCGATTTCCAGATTCTGAGTGGGTGCCTCCTAAACGTTAGTTTTGCCATGTATCCATCGCTCCGTTTGCTTTTCGTAAGTAATGAGCAACTCAGATGACACCGATTTACTACTCGATATTCCACCAAATTTTTTCTCAGTCCCTTCAGATGATTCTGAGACTTCTGATCGTGAACTTTCCTTAAGTAAAAGTTTTAGATTCAAACCTAAACGTCAAGATAAGAAGAAGCTTGTCTCAGACTTGATGTGTAATGTCAGTGAGTTAGCAAATCGTATCTCAGTACTAGAAGACATCGAAGGATCAAGGTACTCCAGCTGTGGCGAAAGTCACTTGCCCCTCGGTAATTCCTCATTTCAAAATATGCATGTTTTCAAAGGCAGCACCGACAGTTTGTCACAACATTCATTCAAATCTAGCAGTCACCATCTTGGTGGATCACCTCCTAAGTCAACACGACCACAGTCCTTACCTCCAACTCCGATTCTGAATCGATATTCTCATATTCTAGAAGAGTTTCCAAAAAGCCACTCGTTGAATACATCACCAGAAAAGAGCAAGTATTTGTCCAAGACAATTGATAGTCCTCTCTCCAGGATCAAGACTTCCTCAAATAATCAGAACAATCAGAATAATGTGTCTGAATCCTCTTGCAAGCGGAGGTTGTTTAGTGAGAGTGATTCCCATTCGATTACTTCAGCAGGGAATGTTTTGCCGAAAGTAGACTTTAAATCCTGTTTTACACAATCATACCTTGAGTCAAAGAATGCACCACATAAGAATTCCTTATGGTTTGATGCCAATCCAGTGAAGCACCTAGATCTGCCAGAAGTTGACCGGTTATTAAAAGAAATGGAATTGACCGAAGAAGAAATGGAAAATAAATCAAATTCCAAAGATTGTCTCAGCAGTTTACCTCCCAGAGCAGAGACCAGCTGCTTTTTGAGAAGGAGTCATAATAATCCACTTTCAGACTTGAACAACGAAACCAGCCTGTCCAAGAATAAAACTCATCCAGAAATGTTGAACATGAAGCAGATCAGTAATGAGTTTGAAGGGAACCTATGTTCAAGAGAAACTAACTGTGATTTTAAAAAAGCAGTCGTGCCACAAAATATGGCTGCAGACAATGACTTTTCTGATGACAGCATAAGAAAAAGTACCAGGCACTTTCTCAGTGGCACAAACTCAAATGATTACTCACATAGTACTGCTGGTGGCTTAACTCGTGGTCTTTACAATGTAGATAGTCAAAACTCTATCATTGAAGAGCTTAAAGAACTCGATAAGAAGACTCAAGAGATTGTAGCAAACTCCATGCCTCACAGTCAGATGAATGCAGGTCTTTGGTAAGCCCCTTTTTGTAGTACATTTTTGTCTTTCAAAGGGTTTTTAATCTGTTATGATTGGGCTCTATGTTGCCAAAGCAGTTCTTTTGGATAGTTCTACCTATCATTCTTTTCTCATTAATTCTTCTAGATTTTAATTAATCAAGCCTACAGACCCTATGAAAAACTTCCAAACTCTATCTATCAACTTAACTTCTAAATCTCCATGTATATGAGTATTTCCTTCGTTTTGCTGAAGTGGAGATTTTAATTATGAAGAGCAAAGTTTTGGCTGATTTTAATCAATTGACCTCCTCAAAAGCTCAAACAACATTATCTTACTCTCCTATTGTAGGATTCAAAGGAATTTCCTCCTCTTTTCTGAAACACCCATCCTTTCATCACTTTCCTCATCACCTTTCTCATTTTTTTTCAATTTAATTTCAGTGAGCCTCATCTTTCCCGGACACTGCATAGCAGCGATTCACTAGAATTATTGAAACAGAAATTAGAAGAGGAATATCGACGCAGACAGGTAGCCACTTACATTTTTTTAATTAGATTTAGCTTGAAGTGTTTCCTCTAGCTTATTTATAACATAATGTAATCATAATTTAATTTTGACGATGAGACTACCAGGCCTTTTCAGAGAGTTTTCTTCTCATTAAGAGGAAAAATTACAGAAGTTTCAGGGATTGATGTTGAGTAGTTTTCGTTTAAAAATGAAGTGTGAAAGGAAGTCTACAACATTGCAAACCGAGATATGTGGTCTGATACTTTCACCGTTGACTTGTTTTTATCCAGGTTAGGTCTGCTTTCATAAATTTTATGTATCGAGAGTCTGTATTAGCATCTTTGGTACGTATCTGAAGGTTTTTTGGATTGTAAGACTTCTTTCTCATTGATAACATAATATAAGGAGTAGTAAGTACTCCTACTTTTCTTTTTTCTCCCTTTTTTGTAATTATTTTAGCATAATGTTTATCAAAAATTAATATGAAGAGTGTATTCTGTGATTTCAGCACTGTGAGAATTTAATCATCGATCTTCAGCAAGAGGTGCTAGAATGGCGAGAAAGGCTTGCTGTAGCTGTTGCCATTGATGCAGAGAAAAACCGCGCTATTGGGAAACTTGAAACAACATGGAGGCGCACTGTAGAGCATTGGCGGCAGTTAGAAGATCAGCGTCATAATTTGGCTGTTGCCCTACAAACCTCAAAAGAGGAAAGAAGAGAAGAAATCTCTGAACTCAACAAGGTAAGATAAATTCTTTTTTTAGTAATTTGTATTTTTCTCTATGTAAGATGTATCATTGTATTTCAGATTTGTGAAGATCCAATGTGCAATAATATAAACACACAACTCTAATCCTACATTACCTGCCGGTTTAAATTTAGTTCCAAGTACTTAAGTCGGGAGATGATATGTTCTTCAAGAACTCAATCTTTTTTTTTCTTTACACAATGTAAAAATCACAATAGGTTTTGGGCGTGTGCCCATTTGATCACAGGTAGCTGATTAAAATGTTTCTGGCAATTTTGATACAAAGCCATGTAACTTACTTCACCAAGGAATCAATGTATCATGGAAGTGAAAATAATTTTTCTGTTAAGCTCAACAGCTTTTTTGAAGATGAAGGAATTCTTAACAGACTTGGCCAGCTAAAAATATATTCAGAAAAGCTGGAAGGAATTTTTCTCACATTCTTCTCTTTCTTAAAAATTACTTGCATGTATATTACTTATTTACATTTTAATCACTCTCATATGTCGAATAATTTTTTTATGTATCCACTCAGTCAATTGTTTTCAATTTGTGTAATTCAGAAATTCTGCCCTATGCTTTCTTCCAGAAAGTAAGGCGATATGAGCTAGAACTTTCTCAAGCTTTAGATTTAGCGGCAGGCTACAAACTGAAAGCTGATGTGGCAGAGAAAGAGCGAGCTTCAGTAATGGCTGTTGCAGACAAGAAAAATTTTGAATTAAGTGCCAAACTGAAGGACATAGAAGAGTCCAACAGGAATACTCAATCAAAATTGTTGGAAAGTGAGGACAAGATTCAACTGCTCCAAGACAAACTGTCATGGATGGAGCAAAACTTCTCTGAGGTAATTATTCAAAACCCATTTTCTCCAGAGCATTGCACTCGCTTTCTTTGAAAGCAGTTTCGAATAGCGGTATTTTATAATAGTGCATATTTTGCAGTCAAACATTGTAAAATGCTGCAAGACAACAAAAAATGAAATGGTGAATGGAAGAATCATGCCTCGGTTTTTGGTCATGAAATTACATTTCTTGAATTGACAAATGCTTTTTACTTAATGAGAGGATCAGGGTTTCAGCTTCCCATTGATGATGTTTCCCAGCGTGAGAAGCATTCATAGTTTGTTAGTTCGATATACCTTAGATGATTTATATCTGGAGATCTTATCAGTAACTTTATTAGCGGAACTTGCTGCTTTTAAAGAATGGAAATTTTTTCTTGATCAACTTTTTCTTGAGCACTTCTGAAATTCACGTTTTGTGGAATTCTGAATAGTTTTCTGTGGAAGATTCATCCCATTGCGATTTTGTATTTTATTTAATGCATTTTGAGACTGATTGTTCATATTTTTGACAGCACCAAAGTTTTATCAATTTTATCATTGACAAAGAATCTGTACCTTATGGCTGCTTTGCACTTCATTTGTGTGATTTTGTGTTATGATTTGATCGTGGTACTTTCATTTTTAATTTAAAATATGAATGAAAAAAGTATTGAAATTATGATGGGCCGTGAAGCGGGAATGAGCAAAAGTGAGGAAAATATCGACAGTTCGGAAATGAAGTCGGTGTATGAGTTCTTTAGGATGAGAAAAAGGTGTGCTGATAAAGTGCTTATGATGGGTAAACAGGAGAATCGGTGACTTCAAGTAAGTGCCAGGAGGGGTGGCTGGAGGATGGCGTAAGGGCTGCGAAGTAGATAAGGTACCATAATCAGTCATGCTTAACAGATGAAGCTCATGATTTTTTATCATAAAGTGAGGTATCTTTTTTCATTCCTTCTTATCTCAAGCTGTTTCCTGTATCGTCAATTCCCTTTATTCATCTCTGAACCCTTCCTTTCCTTTCTCTCCATTTCAGGATTCCATTGAAGAACGTTTAGAATACTATTTAAAGTTCATGAAACAAGTTGTAAGTTTTGTGTTTCAAAAGTAATTTTTATGTAAGTTGTAGAAAGTCTCCGTAAAATCTGTGAGGGATGTTAAATTTCGAGTTGAGAAATAGAGTATATTTACTCTATTAACTGATTGTGCAGTTACCTTGTATTTAGTAATACTATTATTGAATTCATTAGTTTCCAGACAGCATAATCCTGTAAACCTGCCAGTATTCACCCATAATTTTTATAAAGTGTCTCCTTCATTTGGGTTTTTTGTCTTCTGATGATTCGATTGATGTTTGTCATTCTGAAGAGAAAGAAATTGTGAGGAAATTCTTAGGGCCAAATATGGTTTTATTACCATATAAACTATGACTGTCAATCGATTAAGCTTAGCCAACAGTTCAAACAGTCCCTAGTCACATAGCCTTATATTATGAATAAAGGTACTTTGCTTCTTTAACGTTTGTGATGTACAAATAATCTAAATTAATCCCTCAATTTTTTAGGAGAATAAATTATTACAAGACAGTCAAGAACGGTTAGGCCAACTTGAAGCAGAATTGTCTTTGGCTGTTGCCGAAAAAGCCAAACTGCTCTCTAAGCTGAAGGAAGAAAATCAATTGGTTGCAAATTTGAAGAACCAAATGGAGGATTTGACGGCAACTATTGATGAAAAAAACAAAAAGGAGGTAAGTTGAAGACATAAGACAAAGGACGTCTTGGTGATCCTCTGTTAAAAATATGGCACAAGAGAAGTGCACTAAATTAAATATTGCCCTATAATAAAATTTATATCCAGAAGTGATCATCATTTTTACTTTATTTTTTGTTCGGTGGTGCTAGCATAAAGTCCTTTTTAAGCACAAGTAAATGAGGAAAAACCGTTGTAAAGAATGCTTGCCCCCTGTCTCTTCTTTTGTAGGTATTTTTAATAGTTTTTTTTTTCTCCCCTAAGTAATTTTTTTTTTTTTCATATTCAGAAAAAAGCTCTGGAGGATTTGAAGACGTTGCAACAAAACCAGGACAAACTGAAGAAAGAGCTTCGAGTATTTTATCAAAAGCAGCTGGAAAGTGTTGTGCGGGACAAACTCAAAGAATTCCAGTCACAACTTGACGCAGCTGAAGCTGCTCTCAAGGTGGAGCTTCATACTCGAGAGAGAGCTCTTGCAGAACTGGCAGCTCGTCAAATGCAAATATTGACTGAAAAGTAAGGTTCCATTGTATTGTTAATATAATTCGAGTACCATCTGAGCTGGAATTCAAGCAAACCCAGAAACATTTAGGAAATAATCATGATCATGTTAGGAAATTCATAAAATAGACCGGAATTGCCTAGTCCTTCTCTGCTTATGTGTTTTCACTACTGTCAAAACAAAGATTTTTGAAAAGCAGGTCCAGAACTTTGGGCTTAATTATTCAGCTCAGAAGTTTTGGGTTAGATTTTGACCAACATGTCTTCGGTTAATTAGTTACTCAAACATCTTAATTTTTTCAAAATAAACAGTAGATTCCTATTTTTTTCCTGGTACCCTATTGGATGCAAGTACTCTAAAAATGGGGTTGATATTGAATCCCAAATGATTTTTCATACCATCTCTGTTGTTTTTGTTCCATAACTTTGCCTATCAACTTTTGTAAGAGTCACTTATTTGCTTGAAAACCCTAAAAATGATCATAGTAGGTAGAAGAAATCAGGAGATGAATTTCAATTATAATATCAATGATGTAATATTGGTTGTTCCATCTTCTTTAGACATAAATCGGAGCTTGACAAATTAAAAGAAGAAACCAAGGAGCAACAAAAAAGCTCTGAGGACACAATTTTAGAGCTGAAAGAATCATTAGAACTGGAGCGATCTCGGCGAGCCGAAATGGCCAGAGAACTTCATTCTGTCATGGAAACTCAGTGGAGACAGGCTATAAACATTATCACTTCACAGGTAAGGTTACTTCATTGGTGCTTGAGGTAAAAGTCTCTTGATGATTTAATGAGCACATGGCCTAAGTGACCATACCAAATGTTCGACTGTGATGAGAAAGATGAATTTAAATAATAGCAAAAATGTGAGTGGAATTTTTGTACAATCGTGAAAGTGAAGGACCAGGCCACCTGGAGGCGGTTGCTAAACAAGACTACATCGCTTACCAAATTTGAAACATAAAAGGAGATTTTGGCAAAAAACCCAGACCTTGCGGAGCCACATGCAGTGCGAGTCCGAATTTTGAAAAAAAAGGGAAGAGCAATATATTTTCAATCTTGAATACTGAGTAGAAAAATTGAAATGAAACTGAATGAATAATTAAAATTATGGAAATTAAAGGAAGAAGAAACTTTATTTCTTCAACAAATAAGTAGAAACAAACTCTTCAAAGAACTACTTGCTCACCATTGTCGGCGTTTTCAAGGCACAACATTACTCAGCACTTTGAACATCTTAAAGATTAATCTCATATCACATTATTCTCCATTGTGAAAGAACTGAATACTTACTGTTCACTTCAATCTGACCAGGGAGACAATATCTAATGAGTTACTTATCCATATGAGTTTTAAAATTTGATAAGATGTTTTTTCTTGTGTAGACAAACTTTCCAAGCAAGCAAGAACCAACTAATGAAAAAGGAGAAACAACTTCATCTGTTCACGCTCTTGAGCATGGTTATATGAATCAAAAAACGGAAAGTAAATCAATGCCTGATCAGCTTCAGAAATACTTTCAAATGGTAACGTATTCTTTTTCCTCTCCAGACACTAGTGTTTCCTTGTTTCTTTCTGCTGTTATGAAAATGGAACTTTAAATATAAGCATCGTCATTTTGTTTTTAGAACGTTATGAACATCAACTTATTTCTGCATTTAAAAAAGCTGACAAAAGTTGATTGGTATAGTTGGCCCATATCTCTGTATCCCTTTTGACTGTCGCATTTTTGGAATACATTCTCTTTTATTTTCCATATTACAACATGCGTGGACTGAGATTATTTCATGCTCATTTACAGCATCAACATTAGATTTGAAAAATGTAAAGTGATAATTGATGTCATAACTTTGAAGAGACTAATTTTTTTTCGTCAAAAATAAGAAATAGTAAAAGCACTAAAATACAAAAAACAAATGGGTATACAAGGCTAGAGGAGACATAAAATGTCTCTCTAAATTTTATGTCTCCTCTAGCCTTGTGTACCCATTTGTTTTTTGTATTTTAGTGTGTTTTTATTGTTGTCTGCATTCGGGGTAGTGTGTCTCTCTCTCTCTCTTATCAATGAGAAATAGCTTTCATATTTTAGGTGGAAAGTAGAAGTTTCCTTTTGTTAAGTATCTACTGAAGTAAAAAGTAAAAAATTAAAATACACCTCTGTTTGAATGCATGCTTCTGACATTCAAAATTCCACCAATACCAAAGATGATGATTGTTCATGAAAACATGACGTATTGATGAAAAATGAGGAACTTTAGTCGCTCTTATGTCTTGTGAAATAATTACATTTATTTAAACTTACTTCATCATTTCAGTTATTAGAAAAAATGCCAGCCAATAAGGAGGATCTCAATAATTCCTGGCTCTACTCTTCATTTTTAAGCGACGATATTGCAACCTCTGCACACCAAGGTGAAGAGTTAAACCTAAATTCGGTGAGTGAGCTCAGGCGCCTGCATATGTACAAGATGAACACTTAAACTGTGTCAATGGCTCATTATTTACGATGGATATTTTATTCTCAAAAAAGTATTTTAATCACTTTAAAAGGGCATATTATTTTCACAAGTTTTTATCCAATGAATACGTTAAAATATTCTTTGTCTGAAAAGCATTCAGAAGGATAATTGGAAGTTTTATGGAATGGAATCTTTTAGAAATAATGTAGTGCCCAGCCAAGATGATATCACTACTTTCTTTGGGTACGAACTGTTTACAATATCATCAACTCTGTGGCATATTTTTACATATTGACAAAGAAACTACCAGACGACGTCTCTCGGTTTGCAGCGTTGCAGACTTCCTATCATCAATTTTTTTAATGGAAAACTACTAGATGTCAATTCTTGATACCTTATGTGATTTTTCTTCTCTGTGCAAAGAAAATTCTTGTAAAAATATCAAGAAATGATATTGATTTGTTCTCCTTTTTAAAAATAAAAGAAAAACCCGCAAATGCGATGCGTGGTTTGGGAATTTCATCGTTGATATTAGTGTCCTCATGAGTATGGTCCCAACAAGTATGCGATATGAAAAGCTGCTCCACTAAAAATTAACCCCTGTCAGCCTCAAAATTCATTTTTGAGAGGTTATCTCTGGAACCCTCCAGGATGTGAGGAGAGGAAACTTCTGGAAATTCAAATGGGTCAGTTGCGCTGGTCACAGAATTGTGTTTTGATGCTTGATTCTTGTAGATTGGCTAAAAAAATTGACCGGAACTTTATACGCTCAATATGAACTGAGATATCGCCCTTTGAAGTGTCAGGTTTTTGATGTCATCCACCGCAGCAGTGACACCCTTGATTTCTTCCTCTTTTGTTCAATCAGTGATGCAGAGGGTGCAACACGAAACTTCAACAACGTTAAACATTAACAAACTGAGGTGAACTGACTGACTACCTAATCTCTTCGCGGCGAGTGCGTCATCTCCTGATGAGAAGATCTTTAAAGTGGGAATCTGTCTGTTTCTTGAGTTGGTTTACACCCAATGTCATTGAAGTCTCGTGTTGCATCCTTTGCATGACTGATTAAACAAAATAGGAAGAAACCAAGGGTGTCCCTGCCGCGGTGGATGAGGTCAAAAACCTGACTTTTCATAGAGCGATATCTCTGTAAACCTAGAAAGTTGCGATTTGGACAGATCTTATTATTTTTTGCTAATCTACAAGTATCAAGCACGAAACCACGATTCTGTGACCAGCGCTACAGACCCATTGCGATCCTTAAAATTTTGGGCAAGTTTTGATACACAGTTAATAACCATTGAACAAACCATAACTCATTATTCTCATGGATACATTTTCGGGGAAGGGCAAGATACTTATTTTTCATGGGTTGAAAATTGAAGCTGAAAATGAGGTCATTGATGCATTTTCCAACTCTCTCTTTTAATAGAAGAGCAAATTCAAATCATTAATGACCTTAATCCCAGCTCCAATTTGCAGCATGTGAAATTAGCTTAACATTTAGCAAAGTGCTGCAGCTGCTCTCTAGTGAGTAAATGACTTTTTTTTATCATATTGTCTCTTACAGTTCCATTTTTTCTTTCAGAATGCCAAGAGTGAGGGTAACCGTAATGCCAAATCAAAACCTCCATGGAAATGACATAATGCTAAAAGGAAACTGCCAAACATTGACTTTGGAAGAGATGCCAAAAGATAAAATGTAGCAGAGATTTGAGATTTTTCCTTGAGTGGATTTACAATGTCTGCAGAGCTGTAAAAAGGGAAGAATCAAGAAAAATATTTAAAGTGAAAGTGAAAAAAAAGACAAAAAACTGTTAGAGATTTTTATCAAACGAATCAGCATTTTTCCCCTTTGACATGATTCTTCCCTATCTGCCAAATTTTCAAAACCATCACCAGGAATATTGTAGAAAATGGTAATTTTGTGAGAGAGAACTTACATTTTCTCGGTTACATAAGCAAAATAAATTGCTTCTCTTTCATGCATGTTGAAATATTATTAATTGGAGCACATTTTGCAATCAATATATATTGCACTATTTTTGGCTCTTTCGCAAAAAAACTAATTTGCATATGGAAAGGAATGAAACATATGTTGTCTCTCAAATGAGTCAAGAATATTAGTTCCCTAGTGAAAATGTAATTCAATATAAAAATTTTACAATTCGTGGGATCTCAGTCAGACAAAACCCAGGGGAGTCGGAGTTTTATTTTCATCACTTCCTCGAGGCTGCAGACACCCTTGTCAGCCAAAATGAGCCTGGCAGAGTAAAGTCTCACTGAGATGAATTGTTAGTGGATCGAAAAAAGTTTGACCCAAGCGGGATTTCGTTTGAGCCGCTTTTCCGCCTAACAGGAAATAAGGGCATAATATTAAGTGAAGCGGGAACTTGACACATGTAATAAAGCAGGATGTCCAGCAATCTAAAAACCAGGAAAGTCCTGGAGAGACAACATGTAATTAAGAGTCGCAAATTCTTGTGCAAGCTTGTGACTTATGTAAAATTTTACAGCGTTTTGATGCAAAGCCCCACAATGCTTTCTCCTGGTCTGTTAGACTTGAGGTCAGTCGTGAATTTTTCTTTAGGGAATTAAAGCCCTCTTTGATATGTACTGGTGATTTGCGCTGAGCCATGTTTATTTTTGCCATTCGTAGATTTGGAGACGTATGTATTTTAAACTGTTACCTAGTTCGCTCGTTGACTTACCTATTTTAGAGATTGTACTTACTGATCTGCATTCCACTATTTTTTATTAACTGTATCAGTATTAATACCTATTACTTGTTACCTTTTTTTAGTTTTTCCTCAGTCTGTAGTTTGATTTTTTCAGTATTATTTTATTTGTATTTGTATAAACTCACATTTAATTGATGGATGAGCAATTTGGCTCCACCATTATTTTGACAATGCCAATGGTTTTTTAAAGGTAATTTGCTATGAAGTTACTATGATGAAGACTTTCTTACATATTACTTAAGCAAATATTGCGCAACAGCTCCCCCATTAAAAGCAGGTCAATCTGATTAGACTGACTCTGTTTTGTAAAGCAGTTTATATCACTTTGAGCGCTTTGACATCACACCAACCATAATCACATAAGTCTGATATCTGAGTCACAATAGACTTACATCAAACTGATTCAGGCTGACTTCAAAAACATTCATGTTCAAATCAGAGTGATTTGTTTTATAAAGCAGTCTGTTTAGCCTGGCCTATTATTACCAAGGCTTCACTGAAAAACACATCTCGTATATACCTATTCAAAATCAATACAGGAGACAAGAAAAAAAAGAAAAGAAAAACGGATTTGTTCACACAATCCACTGTATGATCTCAATGTAAAGCAATTTAAAGAATGTTTGAGGAACAAACTTAGAAATTTTTAAAAAATAATTTCCTTATTTTAAAACCAATGTATCAGTACATTCCATTGATCGAGTCATTTTTATTTTGTAGCTGTAGATTTTTGTAAAAATGTTAGCTCGTACAAGATGCTGTTATCTCTTTTGAAATTGTTTTTTATAAAGTGTTTCGCCAACCTAAGTAGCGTTTGCTGTGAATTCAAAGTATCAATCTCTTTTTCTCCAATCGCACCATTTCTTTTTCCAAGCTGATTCCTATACCATATGTACCTGAAAAGTGAACGAGGATTCTCTGAAAATTATCCATCATTTGTTTCTGGCACATGAGAATTCTCCGTGATAATGTGCTCCAGACTCTTTTGCTTACTCTCCCTTCCGTCCTAATCTTCCCTGAAACGAGACTGTTTCTTTTCCACTAGAGTAATTTTTACTGAATTTTTACTAAATTATTTTCATGTGTACATATAGTCAGCACTGTTTTGAATTCCAATATATTTTCTTGTCTCATAGATTTTTTAATCTTTTTCTTTCTCACCACCACATTTTTAATATTTTTATTGTAATATCAGTAATACTGCCTTATATTTTTTCCCCTCCTTTTTGTGGGTATCAAGTTCAGATTTTTCCAAGAAAATTGTCTTTAAACCTATAACCCAGTGTTACTTTGGTTGGAACGTGTTAAAGACATTACAAAAATAAGAAATTACAAGTATTACTAAACTCGAAAAAATATAGACTTTTTGCATTTTGACGGTGAAACTTTCAAATCATGTACCTCGGTTAGGGACGTCACAGACTTCCTGACCTACCTCTGCTTTTAAAGGACTGAAAAACTTTGAAATGAACTGAGTGACTTTTAAACAACTGAGTGTCAATTTTTTGAAACTTCCGCGATTTCTCTTCTCTATACGGAGAAAATTCTGAGAAAATGCTGAGAGGAGATTTTAAAACTCCTCGAAGAAGATACGCGGTTTAGGAGTTTTACCTTTGATTTTTAGTCTTAAAAGCTTCTCAGAATTACGTTTTTCTTTCCATTTATGCATCAAGAAAATTTTGTTTTGAGATCAATTAAAAACGAAGACGAGTTTGGCATAACAAAAATAATTTGATTTATTTAACAGAAAGATTTTTTCATAAAAGACAAAGATCATGACTTCGATGAACTGATATGAAGATTAGTCAGTGCATTTTTCGAAATCATGGCATGAGAAACAAGTATAATTGTAAGTCAACATCTTCGTCAAATTTAAAATATTTGCGATTTTCGGGTCATCTGTTATCAAAGTTGTATTTATAATTAGGAACATAAGCTCCCTCTTGATCTGCATCTTGTTCTACACACAAGCTGGCGTGTTTTCACCAACCCTTGAGGGTCAATAGACCACATTAGAAAAACACTAGTTATGACCGATCGAGAATGCTAATGCACTAGTAATGATAAAACACTATAGAAGTATGGCACGTAGAATAGTGCTGAGTCCACACTATTCCATGGGGAAACAGAGAACAGTGGACCATGAAAAGGACTTTTTGGACAATCTTTTTGTCACTCAGTGGGTCATAGGAAGGAAGTTCGTAGTACAATCAGTCACAGGTAAAAAGAGTTTGAACAAACTGTACCTCACAGAATGGGTCACGACAAAGAAGCTTTTTGATAAACTGTACAGGCAGACTCCCACTTTGGGAAATACATCTGCCTTCTGCGCTGGATGTGCAGCTCACTTAAAAAAAAAAATAACTAAATCCTCTTAGACCCTGAAGGTACGTGCGCATCCAAGAGGAGGGGAGGGCCTTGGGAGCGTGAGACCCTCCCAAAAACCAGTGTTGAATACCGTTCTTTCCTGCTCAGTTCAACCAATTTTGAACGCAAAATAATGGGATGAAATTTCATTTAATGATACATTTTACACATGTATCAACCTCAATTTTGGGATAAAAAAATTTAGAGGAGGAAAAATTTCTCAAATAAACAGTTTCAAGAAAATGAGCCCATCCTCACTTGTGTCTTGAGGCATTAAGAGAATACTGCGCATGTTTAACATTATTTTGTACCATGCAATGTTGCTCTCTCTTGTCTATCTAATCAGTCTATTGTTTGAGAAGATAAGCCCTTGAAGGTTTTGAGTTATGGGAACGTTACAGTTGTTGACTTAGTCACTATCATCATCATTATGACTTTGGTTGAGGGGCTGCCGGCTTTCAAGATCAGATCCATAAATCACATCTTCGTCTGAGTCATTTATCATGGAAAATGCAGGATTGTCCTTTGTGATGGCTGTTTCTGGAATCAAGATACAAACATTTTCCTTGCTATTAAGGCGTACATATCTCTTAAAAGTATTTATGATCAATAAGGAAAAGAATAGGTTGGTTATGGAAAATTTTTATCCTGCATACTAATTATTGGATCTTGGCTTTTAGCAATAGCTTGCCTTAATCCTTGTATAACAATCATCATAATGAAAGCTACATGCATGCTCAAAAATACCATTCCAGAAATTCCCCTGATGCGCACCGCATCAAGCAGAGGCGTTTAGGGCACCTGGAACGGCTCGTACATCATAAAAGAGCTTTTTTTCACAGCAGAAAAAATCAATACTTTAAAATACAAATACAGCATTTGCAAATAAATATACTGCAAAGGGTGTGTCACAAGAAGAAAGCTGTCAGTTTTACTTGCTTCTCTTTTCCTCCAATGAATGATATTCAACTTACCAAAAATAGTATTTTCTGAAGGCGAGTAAACGAATGCCATTGTGAAGAGGTAAAAATTTAAGAGTCCGTAGAGTGCCATAAATTCTACAGAGCTTTCATATGTTGTAGATAAATCAGAGATAAAATTATCTTCGACAATATCCACACCAAACCTTGAGAAGGTTATTGAAATTCCAATTGCAATAACAATCAACATGAGCATGGTCAAGAACTTTAGCCGCATATCTGCAATTTATAAAAATAAATTTAGAAATTGATTTGAATATACAAGAGGACAAACAAATTTAAATAAAATAACAGAAAAAGCTAATGCATCTAGACTTGGGATTAACAGAATAGATCGTGACACCAAAAAAAAGTCATGCTATGGCCAGACTGAAGAATATGTTAAAATCAGGGGGCATGAGCTCATGCAGGATGTTGAAAACTAAGATTGATTGCTCAGCAAATGCTCATCATTTCTGGATCGTGGGATGTACTATGACTTTCAGCCCTTATGCTACGTAAAAATTTGGTGAAAGACCAAATTAAATGCCTTTACACTTGACATTTGAAAAATATATTTTTTCAGAGGAGAAGAAAGTGTAATTTGAATTTCAACATGTCTAACACCTTCGACATTTAATTAAAATGCATGCACTCAAAACAGGTTAACACTATGTAAAAGTGGAGTTAGGCTCAGTGATGCTCAGTTTTCTGCTTAAAAAATAAAACATTAAAGTAAATCTGGCAACATCTGATGTAGTTCGGCTGATTTGGGTTAAATCCGTCCAATTGAACTACATTTTGAAATTAGGAACTAGAATTTCTCCCTGATCCGTAAAAACACTCATATGCATCCGAAAACTAATGGTACATACATCGTTTCTAAACTGTGCAAGATATTGTGGTTCCAAATTGCAAAATACAGCCTGATTGTTTTTTGGACTAGGTACTTCTAAAATTCAAGCAAAGGAATGACATGTCATAAACAAAGCTGGTTTAGTGAAAAATTCAAAACCTAAAGAAAATTATTTTCGAGAAACAGTTTTCTTACCAAAAAATGGCATTGATCTTAGCTCACTATAAGCAGTGAGGATAAGGCAAAGTAGGTAAAAAATGTAGAGACCCATGAAAATGTAGAAAAATGACTTTAAACTCTGAAAAAGAAACCACATACTTATTAAAAATCAAAATAAAAAAAACTTATACAAGAAAAACTGAATTCTGCTAAAACAGAAATAAATAAAGACTGAGATAATTTGTTCAGGATAGATTTTGTAAAATTGAATTTTTGTAATTTTGAGATGATTAAAAATAAAACTCCTGTTCTGGATGAATTATATATTTACTTATTTCCACTGATGCTTAACTTATCTGGGGGTTAAAATGAGAACTGGATTGTATTATCTAATATAATGTAGGCTAACCCACTTTTTTCCCTTTTTACCGAGGTCACTTTTAAATCAGGGAGTAACGCATACTGATTTATTATTTTTGCTAGTATGAATGAAATCAAATTTGAAGTTCATTTAGTTGACTATTTGACTCATTATTTTATAAAAGTAACCTTTAAAATTTGCTTACATACAAATTGATAAAAATAAGACTTCTGTTCTGGATGAATTATATACCTACTTATTTCCACTGATGCTTAACTTATCTGGGGGCTAAAAAGAGAACTACCATGAATAGGCCAAACTTCACAAAAAAACAAACCTCAAAATTCTGAGTATCAAATTTATGATCATATGTAGGATCTTTCATTGCATTGACTTTTTCCCATGTTGCAAGAATGACAGCAGAGGTCCAGATCGGAGCGACAATCAATATTTTGGGAAGATAAAAAGTGAGTAGTTTCCTTTCATTCTGGAATAAAGAAGTAGCAGTTCATAAGTACACAAAAGTATGTTTTTCTATTTTCTTTTGCTAAAACCAATCTGAGACCTTAATCCTTACAGCATAATCAATTTTGAGTTATACCATTTACCTATAGATTTCCGTATGAAGAAAAATCTAATTAGAAAAATCCGGTTAGAAAATTAAAAATGGCTGATGATAGCTTCATAGAATCAAAATCGAAAACTCAGATAGAATGCGGCATCTTCAATTAGTGAAATAAATAATTCCCAAGCTTTGTAAAGGCCTTAAATATTACATATGAGAGAGGATTTTATTTTCTCGTATATATTATTCCCTCCTGCCTTCCACACTCAAACTACTTCTGAGTGTGGCTGATGCATTAGTGCCAAATGGTGCTGAAAAATCAGCACGTCTACTCATTTAATCCATGTAAAATATTCCAACTTAACGTCCAACCTGGCAACATTATGCTGATGCTTTTCAAAATTTTAATACATCTTAACAATCTACCACAAAAAAAGGACTGATCCTTAAAATAGAAATTAGTGAACTATCAGAATTGTTAAATTTCAAGAATATTTTTGGTTAAATGGGGATTATCTACATATTAAAAGACATTAGTCGAGGACTTGAAGATTATTACAAAAACAACAAGGATATTCAGAGATTTTTGAATAAGGAACAGATCCTAGATGAGATGGACTCAAGAATTTAGTCTGATCAAAACGCACACCTGCCTTACCTGTCTTAAACCATGGTAGACGCACAACCAAAATAAGAGGAGAGCACAAAGGAACGATGCTTGATAAAGTGCGTCAAACATTCCTGGCAACCATGAATGGAATAACAGCAGCATAGGGAAAAATGGATCTAAAAAACCAGAAAGATGTTTATAATTATGAAAGCATAATTGAATACGTCATTGCTTGGTACTTACACTTTTAAACAATTAAAGTAGGTATGAATTAAAAAATTAGGCAGGAAAATTGTGGAGCTGGGGTCATTTTACTTTATGGATGCAATCATATGACATTTTCACATAAAAATTTTCTGGTGTGTAGTGTCATTCAAGAGGACTTTATTCTAAGTGGATTGATGCAAATGAATCAAGTTTTTTTTTCTTTCTTTATTTTCGTTTATCTCTACATTCTTATGGGTATCTAAGACCATGTCAAGACTTATTGGTCATGTTATGTTGGTAGAGTCAGGGGCTTGAGTGTGTAGGCAAATCTGAAATTGGAGATTTTTGGGCTCTTCGCCCTAATTTCTTACACAACCCCCCAATCTCCAACTTCGAACATAAAATTACCGGAAAAAATCTTTACACAATTGGTATCCTGTATTACTTAACATTTGATAAGTACTTACTGTTGTACAATAGTAGAAGCGGCAAAAGCACAGAAATCCATTTTTGTTCAAAAGACCAGTCATGAATGGTGAATTTCCGTAATGTATGTGCAAACCAAACCTAAATTTAAAAAAAAAAAAAAAAGATAATGAAAACAAGAAATTAAACATTTTTAACCGGCAATACTTTCTATCAATGTATTAATCCTCAAGAACAGTGGAGCATTCGATTCATTGTAGCAGGGTTACCTGTACCGCAGTGTTAATTGAGATCATTTACGGCCATTCACAAAGAAAAAAGGGAATTTTTCATATTTGGCCAGACCAGATTGGCTAATGAGTGAGCAAATACCGTCTTTAACTGAAGTATGGGCAGCATCTCATTGAGGGATTTAAATTTCAATGTAAAAAGAGAGTAAATTAATTACTTACAGCACAACAAAAAGTTCCCAACAAGTAAAACAGTCGAAACCAGAGCTCAAGTTGAGTGAAACCAGGATTATACGTTTTGAACTGGAAAATAACAATAGGAGAAATAGGTATGTTTAGATAACCAATCTTTTTGTTTTGACAAAATAAAATTCATAGACATTTGAAAAACTTTTCGACCTGTCTATGAGATTTTTTGCAGATTCAACTTCACGATTTCATAACACTGAGTTCATCATTCTCTCTTTTGAGTGCTGTTTAAAATTGAGGCCTCTCAAGTACAGTTCAATGTATCTTTCTTTAATTTTGAGTCCAAAGTAACAAACTAAAGAATAATGTGAAAAAATTGCGCAAACTTTTGCTTGGGAGAAAATATAATACAATGATTCCATCGATTCAGTCCTGTCAACAGCCCTGATTTCTTTTCCCACACCAAACCCTCCTCAACAGAGACACTCGAAAGAAAAGCAGCGCTTCACCAATAAATCGTGAGATGGCTGCAAAAGTTAAGAGTATTGATTCCTTTCTATGAATTTGGGTGTTTCCTTGGAAATTTTAAAACCACCTAGTGCGATGTACACAAAAAAAAATAATAATGAATGTTTCAAATGAAGCAAAGAAAGTATTAATTTCGGATAACGTTGGTTTACTACTTACATAAAAAACAACATCTTTGATATTGTAGCGCTGGTGAAAGTTCTCCAGATCATAAAAGAAAACAGTGGCCACATACGCAGCATAATCAATAAAACCAAGATGCAGAATCGTGACTTGCTCGCAGGTTTGTTTAGAGCATTTTAAATGCCTAGTCCTGTAGGAAGAGATAAAAATTGAATCTTACTTTTAATTGGCTTTGTATGAAAATCACTACTAAATTACTTGACAAAACTTCTATTACTGTGTCAAAATGTGTTTCCACTTTAATAATTCATTATGGTAAAATTGGTGCAATAAAATTAGCCTATATCAGCTGCATTAAACACATACCTGTTGTGAACTGAGTGCAGCATTGCAATTTCATGTTTGTTCTCTATGCCACTCAGCAAGACACCGACTTGGAAGACTTTGTCAAAACTTTCATCTGCAAAAATGAAGAGGAGCTGAATATAATTAGTTTAAAAATACAAGGAGATCCAAAAATACTAAATATTTTCAGGACATGATTTTTGGATCAAGTCATAAATGGATGTCTGAATTAAATACATACTGGTGTCAAAGCATCTTGAATAGTAGCCGCCTCTTTGTATTAATGCAATCAAATGTTAAAACAGCACTCTAATATTTCCAATATTTACGCCAGTTTCAACAAAAACTGTCTTCAAGATAATTGAATAGCTTACTAAAAAAGGTGCTCAACTTTGAAAGGGAAGGGGGTATGCCAAAAAAGTAGAAAAAACTGAATTCAGTCAATAAATTTTCGATGAATGAAATATGTTTTAAAAGCATTATATTCAATTCCCAAAAAGAGTCCTTTACCCAAAAATTTGAAACTTTCTAGTCCTTCAACAGTTAAAAATGAATGTTTTCAAACCTTTCGGTTGGGCACTTTCTGAAACGAACAGAATTGGCTTCTATCTTTTTGATGTAAAATCAGGAGGGAGGGGGAAACTGAAAAGAAATGCAGCAAGGAAAACTTTCTAATGAAATATCCTTTTTCCATCTCAACTTTTGACTTGAAAATCAATCTAGTAAGTAAAACATAAGATACATGAAAATGAAACATGGTAAGAAACAAACAACCTAAAGGGAAGTTTTCAATAAACTTGGTAATTAACCTACTTGTATTTTTGGTTTTGAAATCTCAATAATTCTGTCACCAACTACGTAGATCTGAAGTGATTTTTTAGCTGCTGCTGAAAAATGAGAGTGTGAAGAGATAATCTTACCATCTGTATTATCCGTTCGAACAACTGCAATTACCCATAACTGCTGATGGTAGGTAGACAACGTAGGGGTATGAAGCGTAAATGGACCAGTTGCAAGCAAACTGCTACTTAAATTTTGTTGCTGTAAAATCTCAGATGCTTTTTGTTCTGTTGTGGATGTTATAGGCGGTCCTGAGAGCAAAAATAAATTGAAATTGAAACTTTAATGAAAGAGGAAAAATAATTCTTAAAAATAAACCCACTCATCAAAGTGTGCTCTAGCTTACATAATCCTTCATGAAGCTTGTCCTAGAAAATTAATTCCAAAGAGTAGGTACTAAATTTTATCTAAAAATTTAGAGGCACCATGAATCACAGAAGGTAGGACATTTTAATACAACCTGCCACCGTCAATTATTCGCCAAACAACATGTTTGTTTTTAGTGAGAAATAAGGCAGATTTCGATTTCCACATCGTAAGTGATGAAGGAGACCAGATTTGAAATATTCTGTGGCAGATCCGTCTCTGCCAAAAAGCGACCATTTTTAATGGGTTCATTCCAAAATAAGGTTTTTGCAAGTCTGTGAGGTGACTTCAAGATGTTTCAGTAATGTCATCGTTCTTTCCATTAAATTTGCCATTGTGATCAATTACCAAGTTGCGAATCCTCGCACTTTGCAGCAGACCCATTAAATTAAAAAAAAGAGAATTTGATTCTTACCAAACTTACATCGTTTGGCAAACTTTATATATCTGATCATTCCGACTGATTGTTAATTTTTATTGACAGAGATAAAACAAATTTTCTTACCTGCCAAACCGATGAAAATAGCAAGCCCAAGACTGATGAAAAAAGCAAGGAAAACCATGCAAAACTCCCTCTTGTGCATGGAATACAGGCGCATTTGAACAGACCTATAGATACAGATTAAACATATAAAATAAGTATTAATTTTATGATACTATTAAGTGTATATAGACTATATATGTGTTGATTATATATATGTTGATTATATTTGTTGTTTTACTAGAATTGTTTCGAAATTTTTACCAGTATTCATGCCTGAGGATAAAATAAAAATAATTTTCTGGTGAGATTCTCTTTCCTGACAAAACCTATAATTAACTCATTTAAAGAAAACGTTAAGTCTTTATGGTAGCTTCACAATTAAAATAAATAAAAAAAAAAGCATATGCAAACCTTTCACATCTATCATGGTGATAAGCAGGGGCGATGTATCGGTTGAATTCACTGAACAAATCACTAAATTGTGACAGGACGTTCCGGATTTTCATCATGCACCCACCTGTGGGCAACTGATACGCATAGCCAAGATTTGAGGAGTCCATGTTTTAAAAATCTATAAAAGTAACAAGACATGTGATCAGTGAATATGTTAATAGAACAGTTTCCAGGCTAAGGATGGGCAAAACACTATTAAAAATTTTGCTTAGTGATATCTTACAACAACAAATTTTTTGTGCCAGGATCATAAAATCAAAAGAAACGATAGTAGAGAGGAAATGTAATTGAGTAAGAAATTATTAGACTCAAAAGTCAATTTCCAGTTTAATCGAACATCAAACCAATAAATGAAACAGACAAGAGAGGGTAGATCACTGACAAGTCATTAGTAAAACATTGGATATTATTTTCAAGCATTTTATTTACTCAGATCTCAGAAGTTCGGGGAAAAGACAAATCATGAACATCAAAATCGGGCGATAACACCTACTGAGGATTTGAAGGGTTTTATGAATTTTTTTTGGAGAACTGAGCATCAACATGTGTTGTCCAAGAAAGCTAAATAAAGAAGATTTAAAAAGAGAGGACTCATTGCGTTTACGGCTAAACTGATTCAGACATAAAATGAGCGACAAATCTCTGGTAAAAAATCACGAAATTGAATAACAGCACAACATACCTTGATTGTTTATAATCGTCCGACTCAAAAAGCCGTCCTCAAACGCTTAGATGGTTGATTGCAGTTAGGTGAGATGTTGGTTGCGTTGTCGGTGATTGCAGGCGCCGGGATACTGATGCGCGCTCGTTCTCTCGCGCGCGAATTATTGATTTTCCGCGGCCCGTGCGCAAGAGCGCGACGTGCCTCGACGCTTCACGAATCGATAAGCGATATTTCGATAATTGCTTGCTGGTCGTTGCTGCTAGTGATATCACACATCGATATGATATCGTGATGTGATATCGCTCATCGCGAAGTATGAGTATCACAGCGCGGCATCGCGCGCCGCAACCGGTGACGTTGTAAAAGAGGCCGCATGTGGTACGTTTACATCTCGGAACGCCAAATTGTGGCCAAAAACGGGAAAAGAGCAGAATGGCAAAGATTCTTGATACTACC